ACTCTGCATTTCGTCAGCGTCTTCGCCTAGGAGGACTATATCGTCTGCATATTCCAAGTCAACGAGATTATTCCCTGCTAGCAAGTCAATCCCTGAGTCGCTGAAGTCACTTAGGGTTAAGTCCATTAACACATCTATGATGAAGTTGAATAGAAAAGGGGATAATGGGCATCCTTGACGGACACCACTAGTCGTCACCAGTTCAGATGACAGCTCGCCGTAAGCCCTCACCTGGCTGTATGAGTACGAGTAGAGTGCCTTAATCAGTGCAATATATTTTCTTGGGATTCCCTTTACAGCCAAGCATCTCCAGAGAACTTCTCGATCGGCAGAGTCGAATGCTGCCTTTAGGTCAAGAAATATAATGACTGTTGGACGCCAGTAGTAATGTCTATGTTCTAGAATCTGTCGGAGCGTTAAGATATGATCAATACACCTTCTTCCTGGTCTAAAGCCTGCCTGGTTCTCTCGTGTTTGTGCCTCCCGAGTACCACTCAGTCTACGCATGATTATTGAGCCTAAGACTTTAGATATTATATTAGTCAAGCTAATCCCTCTGTGATTATCACAGGAAGACTTGTCTCCCTTCTTGTATATGGGGATAATCAGTGACTTACACCAACCCGATGGGACTTCTTCTGATTCCCAGACGCTTCCTAGTACCTCAGTTAATGCAGACAGTAAACTGTCTCCACCGTACTTAAATACCTCTGGAGTCATTCCATCAGGTCCCGCTGCTTTGCCTAGTTTCAGATTGGTGACAGCTTTAGTAACCTCAGTTAGGGATGGAGGACCTGTGTCTATATCCCATTCAGGAGGTGTTGGATGCTCGGAAGGTTGAGCGTGGCTGTGGGCCAATTAAACTGCTCCTCATAATGCTCTTTCCAGCGATCCAGTCGTCTATCCTGGGAGCTAATTATAGTGCCATTTTTCTCCGAGATTGTTTCACTAATGATTTGTCTTCTCCCACCCGTTTCCCTGATGAGTCTAAATAGTTGCCTGGTGTTGCCTATCCTCGAAGCTTTCTCCATCTCTTTGGCTTTTGTCACTCACCACTGTTCACGGTCCTTGCGGAGACTTTTCGTAAGTTTCCTTTTGTGCAGCTTTCGCTCCTCATTGAATTCGGAGCTCGCCGAAATAAGTCTTCTAGCATCTAGAAGTCTTATTCCGGCACAGTGGCAATAAGCGCTGGAAATTTGCTAAAGTGACAATTGTTATTAAGTGAGAAGTAAGATGTTTGTGTGTCTACACGAGAAGTCTGAGCGAGGTGAATGCGAAAACTTGATGAAATACCCGGGAGGTAGATGTCATTGTGATAACGTTTAGCCGTTCACTTAAACCAGAGGCTAGCGGGTAGGAAGCCGCTTAGGAGCGTGGTAGAACGAGAGACTCACAAAATCCTCTTCACATTGTACTGACGACAAAAATAAGTGTTGAAACCCGACACCACGTGTAAAATTCGACCTCACACTTCCATTGATCATTTTACGATTATGGAAATTGATTTGTGCCACAGCGGAATATAATGGTTTTGCATAGATGTGGATAGGTGTTTCTTCGTAATCTCAACCGCGGCCCAACATACATTTCGGGAGATGGAGATCTGATTCATTCCCAGGAATGTTGTAGTAAATCCATTTGAAATGGAGGCTTGGTTTATTCTCTTCTCAGTTCATCATCGATTGAATCACCGGTGCAAATTCTTGTCATTCTAGATGATGACGATTTGATCGAGTTTCTTTTCATCCTCAAAGCAATCAGATTAAGAGAACTCGCGTGTTGACGATGGGTGATCATGTAACTGATGGAACGAAAATTAAAATGCTTCCACCAAGCTTATTAGAAACTGTTTCTCAATGTATGAGCATGACTGAAAAGGTTTTAGTGCATTTGCCTCCATAAATCATGTTATCACTGACATCTAGAGTGCACTTGGTATTCTGAAGGAAGAGATGTCACGCATCCACAAACTCCCTGGCGACCACTTTCACCGAATGCTTCTTCTTCTTCTTCCAACAAAAATGTTTAAGAACATGTTCTGAGAATACAACATTGCTCGGATAGTCATTTCAATGCACTTGGTGGAGAAAACCCGTCAATGAATTTTTCTACCTGAGTGAGTCACCCTTTCTTACTTCTCTGGAAACTATGTGGATCCTGTAGGTGGACACTACGTAATATCCCTGCAAATGTGATACCGACCCATTTTGTTAGCTGTTATTGCCAATTCGCAGACGTCTGAAGATATCAGCTTATTTCGGATCACTTCAGCTAATTAGCACGTTATCCTACATATGTGGATAAATCTTCAGCTGTCAGAATATGCTATAATTATTTAACATTAGTTTTTTATTCATATCAAATCAGATAATTTCACAGAGAAAATGTCAGACACTTTTCTGATGTGTATACTTCAAAATATCAATTTTGCCCTGAATCTTAAAATCCAAATTTTCATATATTTTTTATTTTGTATTAGGTTTATCCTTCATCCATGCATTCTGTAAATAATAAATTCAATTAAATTCAAATTCAATTCATGCCATCCAAATCTCAATTTCACAGTAGAACACGAGGAAAACGATGCTATTAAATTCCTAGACGTTTTGCTAGCCAAAATGAATGATGGCACAATCGAAAGATCTATATTTAGAAAGTCTTCATGGACAGGACAGTACATGCATTTCAAAAGCTTTGTTCCAATCCATTACAAAAAGAACTAGTCAGAACACTGTTCAATAGAGCACGAAAAAATTTGTTCTGACAGTACTATTGAACATGAAATAAAATCTCTGAAGGATATTTTATCTAAGAATGGATATCCTGAGAAGTTCATTAATAAATACTCTAAAGAAACTACCCCCTGCAAAACAATTCAAACAGTTCCAAAGAAACCTGTCTATATCAATTTGCCGTTCAAAGGAGATGACGTACAGGAAGTAGTGAAACGAAGACTCGACAAAGCTATCAAGAGAACTTATTATGCTGCAAAACTTGTTATCCTCAACACCACCAAGTGAGTGATTCAACAATCTGGGAAAGACCAGTCGCCAATCCTTGACACTTCAAACTGCATATATCAATTTGAGTGTGTTTGTGGCAGCAATCGCACCGAAAGGCGATTGTCTACTCGCATGATGCAGCATTTGCCAAAATGGTTGAAAACAGCTGAGTGCAAAGTGCCAAAATCCTCAATAACAAAACATCTTGTGGATTACGGACATGATGTCGACGCGGTCAAGTCATTCACTATTGTCAGCAAACTAAGAAACAAGAAGATGCTTGCAATTGCAGAGGCTTGTTCAATTCGAACTTATAAACCAGCTCTCTGTATACAAAAGGAGATGGTAGTGACTCTGAATCTACCATGGTAATACGTTTTACTTATTATTCTCTACTTGTTATTACTAATATTCTACCTCTTCTTCTCATTACTACTGTTATTATTATTTGAACAAAGCAAGAACTACAGTTTTAGCAGAATAAAATGGTACCATCTTTTATTTCGTTGCCTTCTCGTCAGCTGCTTACATGGCAAAGACTGTAGTACTTGCTTTGTTCAAATTCATTAAGGGGAATAAATGTATGAAAGTTATTATTATTATTATGATTATTATTATTCTTGATTCATTTAAAACTACGCTTTATCCGTAAGATTATCTTAACTCACTTCAACACTATTAAAATTGTTATTATAATTATTACTATTGATATTAGTCTGTTTGCAATTCTCGTTATATTCCCTAATGACTAATTGTTTATCTAAGTCATGTAATTGAAGCGTAATGCAGTTTATCTTAATTTTGATCTCTCATACTCTCTCGCCTTATCTATTTGAACATGACCTGTAAATTTGTGGTGATTGACAATTTCTATCTCTGTATTGTTTAAATACTCACTGTTGATTGTTAATATGTTTCTTATATGAATTGTATTATAATTCCGCTAAATACAAATTCCTGAATTCCGCCCTCTCTGTGTTTTGTTGGATTCTTGTAATTCGGTCATCTCGAAATACTAATACTACGATTACAATAAATTACTACAAATTGGCGTCGCGATGGAACTAAATAACCTGGGAAAATTTCCCATTAATGGTTCTCCGCGGGAGATTGCTGATTATTTGGAATGCTTTTATGCGTGGTGCATTTCCAAGAATGTTCGGGATGACAAAATACCAGCACACTTCATCACTGCTATTGGGCTAGATGCGTATAGCCTAGTAAAGACCCTGTCGTTTCCAGATCAACCTATTTATCTGTCATATGTCAAGATTCGTGAACTTCTGACAAATCACTTTCATGTAACTACATTTGAGACGCGAGAGAGGGCTCAGTTTAACAAACTGGTTCGTTCTCCCAACCAAAAGATTAGAGACTTTATTCTTCAACTCTAAATACAAGCTTCAAAGTGCAACTTTGGAGATCAGCTGCATACTCAACTACGTGATCGTCTAATTGCTGGAGTCAATATTCCTAAGTTAGAGAAAGAGTTAATTCAGATTCCTCCTTGTACGTTTCAAACTGCTAGAGATTTATGTATCACATATGAAGATGTCAACATTGAATATTCTGCTCCCACCACGTCAGTATCTGATGTTATGCTTTCTAAAGTCGAAAATACAAGTGTTCATGGGAAGCAATCCAAATTGTCGTCCACAGGTAATAGAATACAGCAAGAGATCAAAAACATTAAACCGTGTTTATCCTGTGGAAAGTTACATCTACGAAGCACTCGCCGTTTTTGGGGTGCTAAGTGCCATAAATGTGGTAAAGTTGGACACATCAAGACTGTTTGCAGAAGTTCGAATACTTATGTTGCTCAACATTCTTATAATTCTCCCAAGCTGTCTAGTAAGATGGAGTCAGTGTGTCTTTCAACCTTTCAAAATACTCAATCTCATCCAATGAAAACCTCCACTACAAGTTCAGCAACTGAAGCGTCAACTGTTTTCAAAAATGAGGTAGCCGAGTTACAATGTGAACTGTCGAAAACACGACAAGAACTGAATGAGATGAGAGAGCAACTGATTAAAATGGAGGAACTGATGCATATACATAGACTGCGTCTGTTGAGTGCAGAGCATACAAGTACCCGTGAAAGTTCTGCAAAACCATTCAAATCTCGAATTCTCAAAAAGCATCTGATGTCCATGACTTCTAATGTACATTATTACAAAGGGAATGACTATGGACCTTCTGTTGGAATTATACTACAAAAAATGGGAAATCGAGTGATGAAGATATTAGACATCAAAGATCACTCAGTTCATAACAGACACCTGGACAAATTGACAATAAATGAAGTAGGTCGTTCCAATTATTATTTTAATGATTCCGTTACTAATCCTGATTTTGTAGATAATTCAGAAATAGGTGCAGATAATACTGATGGAAATAATATCACAGAATCAGTTAGAAGGTCGCAGCTACTTGCAAGCAAACCGAGACATCGTTATAAATACTCAAGGAGATATTCGACGTGTGGCGGATGTGGTGATTGACAATTTCTATTTCTGTATTGTTTAAATACTCACTGTTGATTGTTGATATGTTTCTTATATGAATTGAATAATAATTCCGCCAAATACAAATTCCTGAATTCCGCCCTCTCTGTGTTTTGTTTGGATTCTTGTAATTCGGTCATCTCGAAATACTGATACTACGATTACAATAATTACTACAAAATTATTCGTACGTGTCTTTCTCCATGACTAATTCAATGTAGTTTGTTTACTTATCAGTCTTATATCTCCTAATGTATTTTCAAAAGTATATATGTCCCTTAATGTAGAGTATTCAGCAACTGACGACTTCTACCAAAATTTGATGAATTCATTAAATCCTGCTTTATTAACCTTTATTGCTTGTTTTAAATTCCTATCGGAAATAAATGTTTTCCATTCTGTAAATATTCATTGATACAAGCATATTTTCATTTCTATGCTTAGCAACGTAATCTGCTGCCAAACTATCCACTATACTGTTACTGAGGAAATCATACTACACACATATGACTTACGAAATCTCGTCAGTAAGACATGCCGCAATACGAGCATATGGGAACTGCTATTGTCAATCAATAGTGATGGTCAGACTTATTAAGCTCGTGTAGGGTGTTCGTTGGTTATTCTTCCTATTACACTGAGTATATTCCTGGTTATTGTGATTGACTATTTCTATCTCTGTATTGTTTAAATACGTACTGTTGATTGTTAATATATTTCTTATATGAATGGCATTATAATTCCGCTAAATACAAATTCCTGAATCCCACCCTCTCTGTGTTTTCGTTGGATTCTTGTAATCCGGTTATCTCTGTAGCGGTAAATAATTCCCCATAATTATTGACCACAGCAATCACTCACCATTGGATGCTGACCACCACTGTTTAAGTCGACTTGTTTAGCTGAAGGCTTCCGGTCAAGCATCCCCGCCATTTGATACCCCGTCGTGTCACGTGCACGATCACTAGCTAGCTAAGCGTTCGTCTGAAGGCTTGTTTTGGTCCCGAAATATGCCACTTAGTTTGGACGATCAAATATTGGATTTTGCTTTGTTGTTGGTACGCGAGAATAATTTAGAGGCTGTGTATAGAATTCCGTCAACTCTCTAAATCTCGAAATACTAATACTACGATTACAAATAATTACAACACTAGTGCACTTGTCTTCAAACTATGAAAACAGGGCTTATGTATTTTGGATCACTTCAATTCTGGTTGACAAGAATTACTATTTAACGCCAGCTTTTACTAACAACTCACATCAATCAGCAGGGTATACTGTCTTACAAAATCAATCTCAACATGATGGTAGGAAAAACATCAAGGTCTCATTTACACAAACACTGTTAATGTTGGTTCTTGGATGTTAACTTCCCATTTAGAATCTAACTAGTACTGTTTAGAACATATACTGCCAATGGAGTTGAAGATTGAACGATCAATTCTTGGTTGTTTGCTCAAAATCAACTTCCCCAATTTTCGCGGAGGCATCAATACGACAGTCATCGTCTCATCGGTCGCTGTTCAGAAAGAAGTCAGGAGACAACCATCAGAAGTAATCTTGTGATTTATTATTGCAATATTTGTTCACAGACCCTAGTAAAAACAGTATTTTTATATGTTTGTGTAACAATAAAGAATTCTCGAGTGGCCAATCGGTCTTTTGGTTTTTTCGTCCGTTATTACTAAGCGTTTCTGAAAAACTGCAAGGAACAGCGTGGGCCCCAGCGTAGCATTAACGGTTTATGAGACGTGGCTGACAGTTTCTGATGGTAGGAACAGACTCTGGCGGATTCAGACAGTTGGTGAAAGTTTGGATAGTCACGGTTCGTCTTTCCTGGTGCCGTTCAAGTCCTCTTTGAACAAGCAATATCTGGAACGTTTTTGGAATTGGGTCAAGTTCAACAATGCCTGGGTCAAAGAAGGGACAGAGCGTCTTGGATGCAAACAGGAAAGTAAGTCATGGTGACTTGTCTGTTACTTGTAACGATGTGTCTGATGTTAAGCATGACATGGTTGATGTTACTGTTTCGCCATTCAGGGATAATAGGAACATCAAACTCCCTAAGTTTGAACCACGGTGTTTTGATGGAAACCCAGCTGATTATTTACAATTTGTAAAGGAGTTTGAGATCATGTTGAGTGGTTTTATATTAAATGATGAATTGAAGTTAATGTATTTGATGAGATATTGCACTGGAGATGCTGCAAGAGCTATACAGTGCTGTAAGCTCATGCCCCCTAATGAGGGATACGCTGAGGCTATGAGCATATTACGTCAAAGGTTTGGAAGACCTTCAATGATTTTAAGGAACGTACACGAAGCTGTCAAAGGTAACGGCAGTCAACTTCAAGATGACTCCAAGGCACTTACTGAGTTTTCAGATAATCTGATGACTTATAAGAATACCTTGATTTCTATGAATTGCGTGAGTGACTTCGACTCGAGTTTCATCCTAGAAGTAATAGCAAGACGCCTACCTACTCGACTGCAAAGGAAGTAGGTGAAGATAAGCTCCCGTATGGAGGATGAGGGTATCGAGACAAAGTTTGATGATATCCTGAAACTGGTAAATACTAGTGTCAATCAATCTATGAGCAAGTTTGCCAGTATATTGAATCTCACCCCTAGAATAGAGCAGTCTGAGAGCAAAATGCAATCACTGATGACGAGTAGGCCTCAGAGACGTGGTTATCGAGAAAGTTCCATGATGTCTAGTAATGCATATAGACCTAGTGAGTGTAACAGGTTTCGTAGTACATCCTCAACTGATAGGTTACAAGATGCAAGACAAACACGGTTTTGTTTCACACGTTTGCAAGAGGTGCATACAGAAGTGAACTGTGAACCGGTGAGCAAGTTCAGTGATAAGCTAAGTGTAAACTCCAGACCTGACTCCGAATTGTGTGACGATAACGGTGCGGTGAAGAAGTCTGTAGTTGCAACTGATAAGCCGTTGTTGAATAAAGTGTCACAGAATAGAGTTGCTGCTTCAGAGTGCAGTTCTGACTCCACAAGTTTACAAAGTATAACTAGTCAGAGTGAAGATTTAAAACCTTCAATGATTTGTGAGGAGGAACCAAAATTGTCTACTTCTGTTATTAAAGAGTTTGAAAATGATGAACTTGATGGTAAAGTGAATATTCATGATAATGGTCATGACACTTCACATTTGTCTTTGGTTGATCATGATGAGATGAGGGGAATGCCTACTACTGCTAAGTTAAATAAAGGTTCTGTACAACTACAACGTGAAGTAGAATTGAACGCAGATGCAGTTCCAGAAGGTGTGCATACTTGTGAGTCAGTCAGTGTAATTGATCAGCGTGTAGCCCACCTATCATCAGATGATAGTGCTAAACCCGAACTAGTAGTGAAAGACAGCAGTGGTGGTAATCTTGCAGTTAGACAACTATCTGAAAGCCGAAAAAGAACAGCTTCTGATCCACCGCTAAGTTCATCACCTTGTGTCACTAAGTCGTCGTTGGTGTTTTCATCCACAATGAAACAGACACCCATCAACTCAAGTATCTTGTCCAATGACTATGCTAGTATCAGTTCGTTTGAAAGGACGAATATCAATGGTCAGTTTAGTGAGGATAAGCCAAGTGTAAACGAGAGAGTAATTGTTAAATTGACTTGCACGAATAAAGGCATTTCTAGTTTCAAGTTACTAATTGAATGCTATTAACTTTGGTGTAAATTACTCTGTGTCTACGCTTGGTTGACCAGATACGTCGTGTGTTTGTTCGTCATCTATATTCTACGATACAATGACATGGGCGTGTTACCGTTCAGATTTGAGGATATAGCTGATAGAGGGAGTGAGTGTCCTAGGACCCCTTTTATTTACAGTCTACATTAACAGAATTCGTAACTGCTTCACCTCAGGGGAACCATTCCTACATACCGGCGTCCCAAAAGTCATTTACTCTCGCTACAGTCATCAATTAGACGATATGGCAAGTAAAACACGTCTTGAAATCAGTAGTTTCGCAAAGCGGCGGGCCGAATCCTGTCTGGAGTTAATATCGACAAACATGGCTGGTTTCGAACCGGCGACAGTGAACTTGACCTAACTCTTAAAGCATATGGACGAAAACTAGCCAAGCTAAACTCAGTCGTAAATCTCGGTATCGGATACTCTGATAATTTAACTTTCTCTGAACAAACTGATTGTGCCAAACGTAAAACACGAAGGCTCTTAGGGTGTATAACTCGCAACTTCTTTTGTTATGAATCCAGGGTTTTATTATTATACTTTGTATAATAAGTATATGTCCAACCTATTCTAGAATACTTGCCATCTATTCTAAGTGGACTCCAGCAGAATGACAAGCTTAAACTAGATGGAGTGCAACGGTAATTTACCCTAAGAACTCTTGATTAAGAATGAGGTCTCTACTATGCTGAGTGTCGTGGCAGACTGAGATTAGAAACAGTCTGCAAAAGACGTCTGAAGCTAAGCCTTATATTCTGCTACAAGGTAACTAATCTTCTCTTGCACTCCCCCAGGCCAATTACTAAATCCACCTCTGGCAGCCCATTAGCAATAGAGTGTAGTCAGGCTAACAAGGAGGGAGTGTGGTGCTAGCTGATAAGTAGATATGGTGGCGGTCACTAAGATTAATCGCCCCAACTGCAGGAACAGCAATATACAATTTGAGGGCTCGAGATATTTCCGATTTTTATGAGGGCTTAGATCTTTATCTTGAAACAGATAATAATGAACGTCTTGACAGATCATGCTTCTACCTTTAAATATATACCATTCACTCAGCCTATTGTTGAGATGCGACCATGTGGGATCTGCACAGATTTATGGGGCATCTTATAAACTAGCTTGCTGTCCATTGGCAGATCTTTAAATACCACTTCACAATGTCTTATCCCATTCATTTTCCAATAACGTCTTTACTTGATCCTCATTATATCCCATTAAACCTAACATTTTACAGCTCTTTATGACTTATTATATTCCTACTCTCTGAAGGGTACGGTTGTGCACTAAATGCACAAAAAGGTATAAAATAAAAACAACTGGCACAACTGAGGATAAATGTATTAAAACCAAAAGTGGACATCACGATAGTACGAGATATACGTGTAGCATTATACATTGCAAATGAACGTTGTCAGCCTAGGGAGTTTCCTTTATAAATGCATTTATTAATGATACTTGCACTTACCTATTTCATTACAATTTAATGATTTACCTCAGCACTTTTACTTCTCTAAAACAGCTTTGAATCCCTTGTAGAAGTTGCACTTACCTCAATATTGGTTGGTTATCGTATGCCGACAACCACGGGATGAAAACGAAACGAAGTAGATTTTCCCGCTCAACCTGGAGGACAATTGTACAATTCAACAACTATACGGAGTGGTTCAGACAATGAGTGTATTATATGTATCAAATATTTAACAGTTGAAATATGATTAACTTGTAGACAATCTGAGATTTGAGACTATATCTTACTTGATCGTGCCTGTAAAAAAGGGCATGCATTTTCATGTTAATTTTTTAAAAATTTGTATGAAATACATTACATTATTGCAAGCGGTAAAACTTTTTCTGTACGTTCTCAGTATTCTGGAATAGACAACCAGCTAATGTATGTGATGGGAACACACTCCCAGTAGTCATCTGGTTAGTCACCGAACTCCCGACAATGTTCTCCTGCGTCTAACTCGTACGCCCTCTTTTTTTCCGTCCACAGATATTATAGGCCCACTAATCATATGCATTACAACAAACCACAATAATAGATGTTAATTTTATTGGAAGAACATGAAAAACATTTCCAAATAGGCCATTAATATTAGTTCACACGTATAATATGAAGGTTAGCATAACGGGACTACTTAGTTACTCTATCACCGCAATCATAGTTCCTAGACAGAGCATATATATGCATATATATTTGTAAATCACTCTTTGGAGAATCTAGTCGCTTTCTTCCGTACTACTGTCGTTTCCCTTCTTTTCTCTCACACCATTTCAGCATTCACGTGACTTTCTGAATGAGGATAAAGAATGTAGATATTTGGCAACTTACAATAACTAAAGATCCGCAGACAATACTGGCACCACATCCTACAGCTGTCTCACGAATTAGCCATTACCTTCCTCCGCCACGCATCCTGGATGACAGTTGTGCGATAGTACCTTTATAACAGTAAAAATCCCCAATAATCTGGTTATTTAAGAATTAATGAAAATATGCTGATTGTTGCATTTAAAATCTCACTGACTCAAGTGATGATGATATTCAGCTCCCACATGCTGCAATTTTTATTTTATATTAATCATTTCGCCATCATTATCGTTCCTAGCCGCGCATGGACTCGAAATTTCCTGTCGCTGCTTCTTAATACATTTAACTGGGCACGTACTGCTGTTGTGAGTCGCTGGCGGTTAATATTGGCAAGAACATCATTGCCGATGAAGCAAATAAAGTTTTACGAGACAATTTAATCACTCAGTGAATAGTCTACCTCAGCTCTACTCAGTAACGCACTCCTCAGATATGATGCTTCAGAGAAGATGCTTTGTATTATACTGCGCACGTCGCTGCCGCCTGTAATAAGTGACCTTAAAGGTATTATTCCATGAACTTTCCGTCCGCATATCTCGTTTGAATGAATAAGCGTAAATATGCTCAATCGCTGTATATGTTATTTTTTATAGTCATGATGCGTGTTAACTGGTGTGGGCCATGTTTAGAAACCTCTAATACACTATTATTATTATAAGAGCCGATCATCTTAACACTGTTCATTGATGAACTGGTCTTAAAAACAGTTTCCCTGGTTATTTTAATTTCACCTTTCCGATTGTCTAGTTATGACCTTAGGTTTAACTCATCAGATTGCTTTATTTGAAATTTGGTCTCACCGAACAGTATCTCCTTTAGTTTCTTCAAGTATTCAGCCCTATGCATGATAACCACATTTGTCGAGTTATCGTGTTCGTGTGTATTTTTGACGCTTAGACTAAATATTAAAAGTCATGCTTTTGGAGCATTCGACTAAAATGGCTTGAATTAACTGTGCCGAAGAAATGACCGAAATTATAACCTACTTTTGCAGTTATTCTGCTGGCTAAATGCAAAGTCATAAGTGTTCACGTGACCAATGATCGCTTATTTTTATTTCAGTAAAAAGTGTTACTTCATATCATCAAATACTTTCCAATGTTTACACCCTTCCAAAGTTTTCATGACGCATCGTAGTTATCTGTCAAAATCCATTCCATTCTACTTCTTCTTTCTTTGGTTAACTTAATTCAATTTATAACGTATATTGTCTGAGTCTGTTCAAATAACGGTAGGCATTCCCAACTTATATGTCAGCCACGTCTCATAAACCGTTAATGCCCAGCTCTTGCTACGCTCGGGCCCACGCTGTTCCTTGCAGTTTTTCAGAAACGCTTAGTAATAACGGACGAAAAAACCAAAAGCCGATTGGCCACTCGAGAATTCTTTATTGTTACACCAACATATAAAAATAATGTTTTTACTAGGGTCTGTGAACAAATATTACAATAATAAATCACAAGATTACTTCTGATGGTTGTCTCCTGACTTCTTTCTGAACAGCGACCGATGAGACGATGACTGTCGTATTGATGCCTCCGCGAAAATTGGGGAAGTTGATTTTGAGCAAACAACCAAGAATTGATCGTTCAATCTTCAACTTCATTGACACTCCCCGGCAAAAAAGGGATCCAACCCTTTTTTCCTTCACGACCAATGCACGTTGACTTGGATGCCATTGCGAGAACCTGGGTCACACGGACAGAGCTGAAATGGAAAACAAACAGAAAAGCCAACACACCACAAGCATACCCACAGCACAATCTCACACATCAATGACGACCTGCGCCTCCAGACAGAGACCTCCTCTTGACATCTTGCAACACAATCGCCACTTGCTAGAATGACTCTTGCAGAATGCAACGTGACCATAGCACCACCTCATGATACTCTACGCACATCCTCTTATCTACTCACTACCAATTACCACTGCAATCGCTTGTCACTCATTCTGCCTCAGTTCTAGTAGCGGTGACGCATGCGAGCCTCAGTCGTTTACACTCTTTCTCTCCGGCGTGTCGGACCGCAGCTAACAATTATCTCCGTATGCATTTCATTCTCAGCAATAGCCTCCCCGGCGTATACGACCCATCTGCTGTCCTTAACATCAATCAATTCATTCATGGATGTAGAAGACTCGAAACAACTTCAGAAGTAATCACGACGAAAATTTTAACAAAATTACGCAATAACAACAAGGTACGAAAACAACAAGTAAACACAATGAATCCAAAATACACCAATTGATATGACACACCACACGTATATACAAACGGTACAAACAACCTCGCAGATCATGTCTCCATGTAATTCCCTTGAAGAATTGCAGGACTTACACCAGTACGCCTACAACCCTTCTCAGGTTGACGATTGTAAGTTGTGGAATGTCCGGACACAAACAAGATTAACCAACAATTACAATAATTGGAACTCACACAATTATTTAACACAAACATATGTACAATCAACACATCAAAGTGGTGGATTCTGCCTTGACGAACTACCCTTGAAGAACTGTAGGACTTACAGCAGTACGCCTACATTCCTTCTCAGGTTGATGATCCAAGTGGAAGTCGTCCGGACACAAACAGAATTACCAACAGCTAGATGACAGATGATATCAATTCAGTATATACAATATGAACATATGTACAAAATCACACACCAAGCACATTGGACTGCTCATTGATGCGCTACCCTTTGAAGAACTGTAGGACTTACAGCAGTACGCCTACAACCCTTCTCAGGTTGACGCTCTAGGTTGGAAAATCGTCGCAGAGTTCATTTGCTGATTTCCTTCTATCAGCTATATCCTCAAATCTGAACGGTAACACGCCCATGTCATTGTATCGTAGAATATAGATGACGAACAAACACACGACGTATCTGGTCAACCAAGCGTAGAAACAGAGTAATTTACACCAAAGATAATAGCATTCAATTAGTAACTTGAAACTAGAAATGCCTTTATTCGTGCAAGTCAATTTAACAATTACTCTCTCGTTTACACTTGGCTTATCCTCACTAAACTGACCATTGATATTCGTCCTTTCAAACGAACTGATACTAGCATAGTCATTGGACAAGATACTTGAGTTGATGGGTGTCTGTTTCATTGTGGATGAAAACACCAACGACGACTGAGTGACACAAGGTGATGAACTTAGCGGTGGATCAGAAGCTGTTCTTTTTCGGCTTTCAGATAGTTGTCTAACTGCAAGATTACCACCACTGCTGTCTTTCACTACTAGTTCGGGTTTAGCACTATCATCTGATGATAGGTGGGCTACACGCTGATCAATTACACTGACTGTCTCACAAGTATGCACACCTTCTGGAACTGCATCTGCGTTCAATTCTACTTCACGTTGTAGTTGTACAGAACCTTTATTTAACTTAGCAGTAGTAGGCATTCCCTCATCTCATCATGATCAACCAAAGACAAATGTGAAGTATCATGATCATTATCACGAATATTCACTTTACCGTCAAGTTCATCATTTTCAAACTCTTTAATAACAGAAGTAGACAATTTTGGTTCCTCCTCACAAATCATTAAAGGTTTTAAATCTTCACTCTGACTAGTTATACTTTGTAAACTTGTGGAGTCAGAACTGCACTCTGAAGCAGCAACTCTATTCTGTGACACTTTATTCAACAACGGCTTACCAGTTGCAACTACAGACTTCTTCACCGCACCGTTATCGTCACACAATTCGGAGTCAGGTCTGGAGTTTACATTTAGCTTATCACTGAACTTGCTCACCGGTTCACAGTTCACTTCTGTATGCACCTCTTGCAAACGTGTGAAACAAAACCGTGTTTGTCTTGCATCTTGTAACCTATCTGTTGAGGATGTACTACGAAACCTGTTACACTCACTAGGTCTATATGCATTACTAGACATCATGGAGCCTTCTCGATATCCACCTCTCTGAGGCCTACTCGTCATCAATGATTGCATTTTGCTCTCAGACTGCTCTATTCTAGGGGTGAGATTCAATATACTGGCAAACTTGCTCATAGATTGATTGACACTAGTATTTACCAGTTTCAGGATATCATCAAACTTTGGCTCGATACCCTCATCCTCCATACGGGAGCTTATCTTCACCCACTTCCTTTGCAGTCGAGTAGGTAGGCGTCTTGCTATTACTTCTAGGATGAAACTCGAGTCGAAGTCACTCACGCAATTCATAGAAATCAAGGTATTCTTATAAGTCATCAGATTATCTGAAAACTCAGTAAGTGCCTTGGAGTCATCTTGAAGTTGACTGCCGTTACCTTTGACAGCTTCGTGTACGTTCCTTAAAATCATTGAAGGTCTTCCAAACCTTTGACGTAATATGCTCATAGCCTCAGCGTATCCCTCATTAGGGGGCATGAGCTTACAGCACTGTATAGCTCTTGCAGCATCTCCAGTGCAATATCTCATCAAATACATTAACTTCAATTCATCATTTAATATAAAACCACTCAACATGATCTCAAACTCCTTTACAAATTGTAAATAATCAGCTGGGTTTCCATCAAAACACCGTGGTTCAAACTTAGGGAGTTTGATGTTCCTATTATCCCTGAATGGCGAAACAGTAACATCAACCATGTCATGCTTAACATCAGACACATCGTTACAAGTAACAGACAAGTCACCATGACTTACTTTCCTGTTTGCATCCAAGACGCTCTGTCCCTTCTTTGACCCAGGCATTGTTGAACTTGACCCAATTCCAAAAACGTTCCAGATATTGCTTGTTCAAAGAGGACTTGAACGGCACCAGGAAAGACGAACCGTGACTATCCAAACTTTCACCAACTGTCTGAATCCGCCAGAGTCTGTTCCTACCATCAGAAACTGTCAGCCACGTCTCATAAACCGTTAATGCTACGCTGGGGCCCACGCTGTTCCTTGCAGTTTTTCAGAAACGCTTAGTAATAACGGACGAAAAAACCAAAAGACCGATTGGCCACTCGAGAATTCTTTATTGTTACACCAACATATAAAAATAATGTTTTTACTAGGGTCTGTGAACAAATATTACAATAATAAATCACAAGATTACTTCTGATGGTTGTCTCCTGACTTCTTTCTGAACAGCGACCGATGAGACGATGACTGTCGTATTGATGCCTCCACGAAAATTGGGGAAGTTGATTTTGAGCAAACAACCAAGAATTGATCGTTCAATCTTCAACTCCATTGACAGTATATGTTATAAACAGTACTAGTTAGATTCTAAATGGGAAGTTAACATCCAAGAACCAACATTAACAGTGTTTGTGTAAATGAGACCTTGGTGTTTTTCCTACCATCATGTTGAGATTGATTTTGTAAGACAGTATGTCCTGCTGATTGATGTGAGTTGTTACTAAGAACCGGCGTTAAATAGTAATTCTTGTCAACCAGAATTGAAGTGATCCAAAATACATAAGCCCTGTTTTCATAGTTTGAAGACAGGTGCAACAGGAATGTACTCAGTGTAATCGGAAGAATAACCAATGGACACCCTACACGAGCTTAATAAGACTGACCATCACTATTGACTGACAATAGCAGTTCCCATATACTCGTATTGCGGCATGTCTTACTGACGAGATTTCGTAACTAATATGTGTGTAGTGTGATTTCCTCAGTAACAGTATAGTGGATAGTTTGGCAGCAGATTACGTTGCTAAGCATAGAAATGAAAATATGCTTGTATCAATGAATATTTACAGAATGGAAAACATTTATTTCCGATAGGAATTTAAAACAAGCAATAAAGGTTAATAAAGCAGGACTTAATGAATTCATCGAATTTCGGTAGAACTCGTCAGTTGCGGAATACTCTACATTCACGGATATATATACTTTTGAAAATACATTAGGAGATATAAGACTGATAAGTAAACGAACTACATTGAATTAGTCATGGAGAAAGACACGTACGAATAATTTTGTAGTAATTATTGTAATCGTAGTATCAGTATTTCGAGATGACCGAATTACAAGAATCCAAACCAAACACAGAGAGGGCGGAATTCAGGAATTTGTATTTAGCGGAATTATAATACATTTCATATAAGAAACATATCAACAGTCAACAGTAAGTATTTTAAACAATACAGAGATAGAAATTGTCAATCACCACATCCGCCACACGTCGAATATCTCCTTGAGTATTTATAACGATGTCTCGGTTTGCTTGCAAGTAGCTGCGACCTTCTAACTGATTCTGTGATATTATTTCCATCAGTATTATCTGCACCTATTTCTGAATTATCTACAAAATCAGGATTAGTAACGGAATCATTAATATTATAATTGGAACGACCTACTTCATTTATTGTCAATTTGTCCAGGTGTCTGTTATGAACTGAGTGATCTTTGATGTCTAATATCTTCACCACTCGATTTCCCATTTTTTGTAGTATAATTCCAACAGAAGGTCCATAGTCATTCCCTTTGTAATAATGTACATTAGAAGTCATGGATATCAGATGCTTTTTGAGAATTCGAGATTTGAATGGCTTTGCAGAACTTTCACGGGTACTTGTATGCTCTGCACTCAACAGACGCAGTCTATGTATATGCATCAGTTCCTCCATTTTAATCAGTTGCTCTCTCATCTCATTCAGTTCTTGTCGTGTTTTCGACAGTTCACATTGTAACTCGGCTACCTCATTTTGAAAACAGTTGACGCTTAAGTTGCTGAACTTCTAGTGGGGGTTTTCATCGGATTAGCTTGAGTATTTTGAAAAGTTGAAAGACACATTGACTCCATTTTACTAGACAGCTTGGGAGAATTATAAGAATGTTGAGCAACATAAGTATTCGAACTTCTGCAAACGGTCTTGATGTGTCCAACTTTACCACATTTATGGCACTTAGCACCCCAAAAACGGCAAGTGCTTCGTAGATGTAACTTTCCACAGGATAAACACGGTTTAATGTTTTTGATCTCTTGCTGTATTCTATTACCTGTGGACGACAATTTGGATTGCTTTCCATGAACACTTGTATTTTCGACTTTAGAAAGCATAACATCAGATACTGACGTGGTGGGAGCAGAGTATTCAATGTTGACATCTTCATATGTGATACATAAATCTCTAGCAGTTTGAAACGTACAAGGAGGAATCTGAATTAACTCTTTCTCTAACTTAGGAATATTGATTCCAGCAATTAGACGATCACGTAGTTGAGTATGCAGCTGATCTCCAAAGTTACACTTTGAGGCTTGAATTTGAAGTTGAAGAATAAAGTCTCTAATCTTTTGGTTGGGAGAACGAACCAGTTTGTTAAACTGAGCCCTCTCTCGCGTCTCAAATGTAGTTACATGAAAGTGATTTGTCAGAAGTTCACGAATCTTGACATATGACAGATAAATAGGTTGATCTGGAAACGACAGGGTCTTTACTAGGCTATACGCATCTAGCCCAATAGCAGTGATGAAGTGTGCTGGTATTTTGTCATCCCGAACATTCTTGGAAATGCACCACGCATCGGAGCATTCAAAATAATCAGCAATCTCCCGCGGAGAACCATTAATGGGAAATTTTCCCAGGTTATTTAGTTCCATCGCGACGCCAATTTGTAGTAATTTATTGTAATCGTAGTATTAGTATTTCGAGATGACGAAATTACAAGAATCCAACCAAAACACAGAGAGGGCTGAATTAAGGGATTTGTATTTAGCGGAATTATTATGCTATTCATATAAGAAACATATCAACAATCAACAGTGAGTATTTAAACAATACAGAGATAGAAATTGTCAAACACCACAAATTTACAGGTCATGTTCAAATAGATAAGGCGAGAGAGTATGAGAGATCAAAATTAAGATAAACTGCATTACGCTTCAATTACATGACTTAGATAAACAATTAGTCATTAGGGAATATAACGAGAATTGCAAACAGACTAATATCAATAGTAATAATTATAATAACAATTTTAATAGTGTTGAAGTGAGTTAAGATAATCTTATGGATAAAGCATAGTTTAAAATGAATCAAGAATAATAATAATCATAATAATAATAACTTTCATACATTTATTCCCCTTAATGAATTTGAACAAAGCAAGAACTACAGTCTTTGCCATGTAAGCAGCTGACGAGAAGGCAACGAAATAAAAGATGGTACCATTTTATTCTGCTAAAACTGTAGTTCTTGCTTTGTTCAAATAATAATAACAATAGTAATGAGAAGAAGAGGTAGAATATTAGTAATAACAAGTAGAGAATAATAAGTAAAACGTATTACCATGGTAGATTCAGAGTCACTACCATCTCCTTTTGT